AAATCAAAAGCTAGGTAAAGCAAGCAATGTAGTTTTTCTTTAGATAGTTTCTGTGGACCAGCTTCTAAGCCTAACTTCTTTTTGTGACTTTTTCCCCCTCTCAGCAAAAGACTATCAAAGCCCAAATCTCTGGGCTTGTCCTTGAATCTTTCCTTCTTTTATATTCCATATCTGACCCATCAGTGACCCTGTTATCTCCAGTTTCAGAATATACCCCAAACTTGCCCACAGGCCATTGCCACCTCCTCTCCTCCTCCTGCCAAGATCTCTCCGTTTCACCCCTGGATTAGCGGCTTCCCGAATCTACTCTTGCATCCTTCCTACAGCCTGGTCTCAACCAAGTTGCCAAAATGACCCTTTAAACATGTGAGAACATGTCAGCCTTCTGCTGAGAGCACTCCAGTGCTTTCCCATGAACTCAGCGCTTCCTTCCCATGAGGCCTCCAGGTCACTCCCTCCCTGGGTCTATTACCTCATCCTTCCTCCTCCTCCTTCATCTTGCTCTACGCCAGCTTTTTGCTCTTCTTAGATGTGCTAGGCCACTCGTGCCTCAGGGCCCTGCCTCCCCCATGTCCTGATAAGTGTGTGTGTAGTAAATTCACAACTAATCTCTCTCTCTCTCTCTCTCTCTCTCTCTCTCTCTCTCTCATAATAATTTTCTATGAAAGGAACAAACTAACACAGTAACTCCATTTTCCTTTTACACAGCTATATGCCTCTGTACTGTTAGTGGAGGTGACAAAGGCCACAGTTTACTAGACTGCCCTTGATGACTGGGCATGAAGGGGGTGAATGGTTGCAGATTCATCCTGCCTTGTGAGTGATCTCAGTGACACACAGAGAACAGTTTTCTTTCTGCTTCCAACACATCTGCGTGCCAAGAAGGTTGCTGTGCCTGTGGACCTCTCCGGAGAACACCTTTTCCACAGGAATGACTGTGATTGGCTATCTCACCTGTGCCTTGAGAGCAGTCACCACAGTCCAGTGGCTACAGGAATAAAAAACGGGCATTCCTTGAGAGTGTGTGCTGGTGCCCACCAAGGGAGCTGTGTGTAGAAACAGCCAGGCTTAGCTGCAATGGAGATGGTTTTGGATCTACAGAACATGATCAATTAAATCCACACTTCTTTAGACCTCTCCTACAAGGAGTGGGGACATCTGAAAAATGACTGAATCACATTAGAGGCAACGACTTCTATTTACCACATGCTGGGATGTCACAGAGGTCGGACTTAAAGTTTTCATCCAAGGTGAAGCACCACGGAGCTTCCTTCTGATTGCCAGGGTTGCGGCAGTAGGAGTGGCCTCCGTTGAGCTCTGGGAAGCGCAAGGCGGTGAAACTGTGCGTGTGGGGGTACTGAGAATTCCACGGCTGACACTGGCGCCCCGACTTGGTCACACTGACAGTTCCCCGGTAATCCACACCTGTGCTGTTGTAGCACTTGTGATCTGAAAAACACGGAGGAAATGCCCAGACCGCTAGAAAGAAACAGACAGGCCTTCGGTGTTCCCAGGCAGCATTTGGGGTGTGGGGTGTGGCATTCCACTGACCTTGGGGCCCAGGGCCTGTCTGCTGGTCAGAGGAGGTACCTGCCACTCTCCCTGCTTGCTGGGCTTGGACCAGGGCCTGTCTTGTACTCACATTCCTGGGAGGATTTAAAGCTTATACTTCAGGACTAAAACCAGCCTCTCCAGTATTTTTAATACTGAATATAGAAGAAATGGGAACTGGGGAGGGACCTGGGGACACAGGAGGAAGTTCCTCAAGAACACTTCAAGGAAGGTTCAAGCCAAACTTTTCCTTCCATTCTGACTGGGGCCTTGGGAACTTTGTGATAGTTCACAGGAAACGTCTACTAGGGGCAGTGCATTCTGTGTTTCAAGCAGGTGTCAGGGCTGTCTGTGCTGATGAAGTGGACACCCGTGAAAAAGCAGGTCATCTTCTATGGTCCTACCTGAACACAGGGGAACCTATAAAGCAGAAATAAACACTATACAATAACTAGTAAAATAGTATTAACTATCACATAAAACTAAAACATTACCAATGAGCTTAATTCTAGAGGAAAGGGAAATGGGCAGGGCAAATCTATTGTCTGGTGGTGGTGAGAGGGCAGAGACGGGGACAAGCCTTTGTATATATTAAGTTGTGGTACAATATACACACCATGAAACTGAACATGAATGCACTTTGTACCTTCCCAAGGTTGTACAACATCATTACAGGGTCTCAGGACAAGTCTGCTATCCCCAAAGGAAATCTCATATCCATCAGGCAGTCTCTCCCACTACCACAACCCCTACACTTGGTACCACCAATCTGCTTTGTGTCTCAATGAATTTGCTCATATTGGACATTTCATAAAGGCACTATGTAGGGGAGGATGACTTTGAACTTTTGATCCTGCCACCTCCACTTCTTGGGTGCTGGGATTACAGGCGCATGAACCACCCACTCAGTTTATGCAGTGCTGGAGATGAACCCAGGGCTTTGTGCATGCTAGGCAAGTACTCTACAGCTACATTCCTAACTCCTATTGGGAATAGTTCTATTGTGAACATTCTTATAGGAGTTTTCATTTGAAAACCTGTTTCTAATTCTTTTGATTATACACTCAGGAGTAGAATTGCTGGGACATGTGGTAATTCTGTGTTTAAGTTATTGAGAAACCAGACCCAGTATTTTTAAATCATCTTCACAAAGCTTCACTTACATGACTTTATCTTCTCTACCACAGAATGCTCAGGCATGGTACTCAAACTGTTGGAAGATAAGCTATCACTGTGCACCATCACTGTTCCAGCAGGAACAATGACTGTGGTCAAGGTCATTTTCACTGTGCCAGGGGCTGCTGGCCCTCAAGACAGCATGGGTCAGAGGCTTCTACTTACTCTTATTTATAGGGTCTGTCATGGGGATTCCAATCCGGATGCAGTTTGCAGCTTCTGGGCTCTCTGGCTGTGGGAGATCCTCACAGTTTGGCAATTTCAGTCTCATCAAAATCATGGGATTTGATCTTGCAAAAATGTACTCTGTCTGACACAGGACGTTTTCCAGGATTTCACATTCATCACGACACAAGTCTCGAGGCTTTGGGACCGAAGAAGTTTCGTCACAGTATGGGAAGGCGTAGTGACACAGGGAAGGAATGGCGAACTGAGAACACTTGTCAGATAAATGGCTGGAGGTGCCGATCATGGTGAAGGCAGCTGAAAAGCAAACACAGCTATTAACTCGCAGAGGCCAGGGTTTCTCTCCACAGTGATCCAGTGGGCAGATACCAGAGAGAAGCGCACTGGGGGGAATCTGCTGAGTGAAGCCCAAGGGCTGAGGAAAGGAGATTCATTTCAGATGTTTAAGCAGTTTACTTTCACTGGCTTGATAAAAAAAATCATTTTGACTACAAAGTTAAAAAAAAAACAGGATTAAATTACATATGTAATATTTCTTTACAAAAAGAATTAATTAGGTTAAAGTATATTATACTCCCCACCGCCCAAGCAACAGAATCTTGTGTTTCATCTGGCACTTTTTACTAATTTTGTGAGGCTCAAACATCTGACGGCCCCAGGTCAGAGCTTGCTTCAGGCAGGGCCCGAGCCCTCCCTGTGTTGCCGGATGGCAAGAGTTGCTGTAAGGCTTTGGGTAACTTGCTTCATTTCACTGCGGCTTGAATACTTTCTATTCCATCTTTGGAAAATGAGGCAATGCACTTGGAAGTTCTCAAAGACCACAATTCAATTGTTCCAGTATGCATCACAGGAGATCAGTGGCCCTTTAGCCTAACCTCACACTCTGTAGGATATCCATACCAAAAACACTAACCCCACAGGCCGCCCATGAGGCTGTTTATACTGTTTCCCAATGTTCCTCGGGACATTAAGCCTATAGCATATTAACAGCATTTGAGAATCTAGGATTATAAAAGTCAAACAAGTTTGGGAAATGCTGGGTCAGATAATATTAAATGGATTTTTAAAAAACAAAATGAAACTGTAATACTTTCCGGAAAGCTAACCGAACATATCCAAAAGAGGGTTATTATAAATTGGTTACCAAATATTTATATCAAAGCACCATTTATTTATGTGAATTCTTATTTAAAAGTGTATTCAAATGTTCTTCTACTGGGTGGAAACATGCCTTCAGCCGCTCCTTCCTGTCCGATGTCTGCTCTTGGTCATGAAAGCCTGAAGGCTTTGGTGAAAGGCAGCTCTACCTTCCTGTCTCTCCTTCTTTTGGTTCAGCAGCTCCCCGAGCTTCCTCTCAGCTCCTTTGAGTTCCTCAGAGAGCAGAGTTTCTCCAACTTATGCTTCTTCTGTGGGTTTATTCATGCCTCTTTTAAATCCTCAACTTGCAAGATAATAGCTGCATGTGCCTCAATACAGCTATGCAAAAAATGATTTGCTATGTATCTGAAATTCAGATATAATTGTGCATCCTGTGTGTGCATTCGATACATTTTCAGCCTTTTGAAAGTCATCATAACATACTGCAAAGGACACATGCCACAGAGACAACAACCACACTTGTGAAAGGGGAACAGGGCTGCTGTGATCACCAGAACTAGGTGCAAAATGGTGCGCGGGGACCTGTGCCACCTTCACTTGTGTGTTAGAAAGCACTTCACTGTTAGAGTGCCCTCAAAAACCATAAAATGCCAATTAAGGAAAATGAATGGTAAAAGACTGACAGGTAGCACAGGGGAGACCTCGTGAGCCATGTTGCTCATCACTCACCTCCCAAGTGAAGAAGTGATTTTCATAGAGAGCAAGCAATTTCCCACAGTCACTTTAAAGACAGCCCTGGGGTTAGTGGCCAGAGTTCCAGTTCCAGTTTACTCCTTCCCAGTCCCCTTCACACTGCTTCCAAACATGAGCCCCGTGAGGGCAGAGACATACCTGGCTTACATGCTCTTATTATCCCCAGAGCTCAGGCCAGGACCTAGCACACTGAAAGCACTCAATAATATTTATTGAGTGTTTGCATGAATGTGAGATTTCTTGAAGCTTCCTTTTCCTCTAAGAGTAACCTCTAATAAATTATTTTAATGTAAATTCCAGAGCACAGAGGTCACATCTCCTGCTTCTTTGTGATCCTACTCCCAACCCCCATGCTTAGCCTAATCCCCTGTCAAGAGAGAAGCCCAGTAAAACTGTTCGTGAGAAAACTAGTTATGTGAGGAATAAGGATCATTTCTTTGATGTCACCTACCTGTGATCTGATTTTCTATTTCCCCCTGCATGTGCAAAGACTCCATGTAGACAGTGCGGTTGCCAATAAATCGTGCACATGCAATCCCTCTGTATGGCTGACAGAATCCATCTTCTTCATACTCGTCTCTTAAAAACAAAGCACAATCATTAGTCATGCACCGCCTACAGATGCCATTGGCTCTGACTGCATGTTCCCTAAATTGATCACTAGGGGGGGCAGTTGGGCATCATATATGAAGACTGAACTGTGGAATCAAGCTTTTGCTCTGTTCTCAAAGCATCTCTTAAAACATCTGTTGGTCACGTTGGTCAAGTTTCCTATACCTCCAGAAAATCACCCTGAAGCACAAAATCAGCCTTAAATGTGGGACAAAGCTCTTTTATTTTCGCAGCTGGTGGTGGGCTGGAAGATGATGTAGCACTAAGAGTCAAGAGGAAGTGAGTTGGAAATCTGGGCACATGTTGTACAGTTTTTTGTTTTTTAAGTACAGATTATTTCTGCTCCATTTGCTACAAAGGTATGAGCGCAATGGTGGCAAGATTCACTCTAACTGACATGTCAATTAGGAGATCCATGGGGTAGGAGTACTGCAGCTGAGAGGGCAGGAGAGTTGGGTGGCTCCTCAGTGGGTCAAGACCTGTTCTGTCTACCCGAAACAGAAGCCAGGGCAAGCCACAGACCAGTAAATTTGAGATCAGCCATTAAATTCGAAGAAATCTAGAGAAAATAGCAATGAAAATCTTGCCTTTCTGATGGCTAAAACTCTAAAAATAGCCAGAAGAATTTTGCTGCTTCCAAATTGAAATAATAAATGAGAGTAGATTTTATCTTGAAGACAGAGGGATACCACATGGTGACAAGATTACTGCAATTAATGGGACAGGAGACCTGAATCCAAGATGGCCACACCCTGCCACAAGAGCCCACACAGGTGGGCATAAGACACAGAGATGGAACAAAGACAGACCTCTGTCGCATGGAAGGCTGCCTGCCATATTCGTGGGTTGACTCTGATGTCGATTCTTCTCCTCTGCTCCCCTGCATGGTCAACACCCTTCTTTACACGGTGTTATTTGCTAATATTAGGTTTCTTTTAAGGTTAAAAGACAGGGGACCAAAACACTCTTCCTGTATACAACACATGAACATTAAGCAGGCTGGCCCACAGGCTTCTTGTCTCTAAGATAGAGGTCATAACTGAACTCTCTGCCTTACAGGGACAAGTCATATGATCACATCAAATAATATAAAAGCTTATTTATTTAGCAGTCCTAGTACTGGAACCCAGACACTCATGCAATGCTAGGCAAACACTCTACCACTGACCTGAGTCCCTGGCCCTATTTAATTTTTTCAGAAGTGTCTCACTATGTTGTCCAGCCTGGCCTTGAACTTGCTATCATTCCGCCTTAGTTCTCAGTGACTGGGAGCTACAGGCAGGTACCACCATGACTGCCTACTATATAAGTTCTTTGACAGTACAGTGATGGCATATTTTTATTAATGAAGTATTTACAATGATTGCAGAAGGCATAAATTCAAAAGATACACATTTACTAAGCTCCACTTTGTGCCATGGCTGTGGGTAGAGCTGTGGCACTGGACATCCCCGCTTGTGCTTATAGGAGGCTAGAGGGCCCAGAATGCCTGCAAACCAAGAGAAAATATTGGATAGGAATCATTTTCTGCCGTTTCCTACTCAGTCTCTAAACCAGTCAGTTGAAGAAGTCAATTGATGAAGATGGGGGAAGTGTATTATGTTTAGTCCTGAAAATAGTATGTATTGCAAAGTCTTGAAAACTTAAACCTTTATATACACAACAAATGAGCCCACCATCTACCTGACATAAAGACATTGAAATGTCAGTGCTGCACAGTCACACAAGCACGCCGTGTGTTTACTTTCATAAATCCTACAGTAATGCTGAAGCCCTTTTGGCTTAAATTTTACCTGCGTTGTAAAATTAACGCAACTTTTATTGGGTAACTAATACCATAAACCTATGGGGAGAAAGAAGGCTCTCAATGACCTTGAGTTGGAGTGCAGAGACCAGAATCCACCCCCACACCACCACTGCTGTTCCAGACCAGGGTTTTCTATCCCTCCACATTAATGGAGCTTGGACGCTTAAAAAGTCCTTAGGAGAACACTTCTTCCTCCCCTACATTAAACTCTCAAGGCCTCAATTTATATCTCTTGGGAGGACAAAACCTTGGAAATACCCCCAGATATAAATCCTTAACCTACTGGGAGTTCCCATATTTTATGTGTGAGGCTTAGACTAAACTTCTTACCACCTTTCCAGTTCAAGACTCCTTAAAAGACTGAATATTTTTTTCTTTTTCAGAATAAAGTGGAATGCAACTCCTCGGCTGCCCATTTCTAATCAATCATTCAAAGCTTCAGATGTGCTGAAATTTTCTATTATGCCCAGAATTCCTGCCATTCTGGCCAGTCTTGGGGGGGGTGGGGGTGGGCAGGGATTTTTAAAAAGTCAAAGAAACAAAAAATAAAAACAAAACAACCCCAACCAGTCTGTAATGTCATTTTTCGGGGAGTAACTCTCAGTCCCAGCTGCTTGTAAGACTCTCAGGGACCCTCAAGATGAGGCTTAGCTGGTAAAAGCACTTGCTTCCTGCAAACTGGACCACCTGAGTTCCACACAGAAACAAACATAAAGGTGGAAGGAGAGAACAGATTCCATAAAGCTGTCCTCTGACTATACTGTGCACACACATACCCACGCACATCACACATACACAGATTATAACAGAAATATTAATTTTTAGATGAAAAGCGTCTCCGCAGGAAGCTTTGAAAAAACGCTTGGAGCTCAGCCACCACCTCCCACCTGTGAGGCCAGGCTGTTTGAGGTTCAGCCTCGGGAATCCGCTTTCCTCCAAGCAGCACCCACAGGGTCCTCTCCTTTCTAAGGAGAAAACATTCCAGTTCAGAGAAGTGAAGTGACTCAGAGTTGCAAAGCAGTGGAGTGAGCAGAGCAGCTAGGACTAAGATTGAAGATTCCAGCCCCAGCCACTTCATCATGTCGTCAGGGCTGTAACTGTTGAGACCCAGTGAGGATGAAATCTTCCTATTCACAATTAAGACTTTATTTTGCAGGAGCTGTTGTGGATTTCATATAAAATAGATATCAAATCATTTAACAGACAACAGGCTTATGAAGGAGGAGGAACGAATACGCCCATTTCTTAGAGTTGCAAAGCAGTGGAGTGAGCAGAGCAGCTAGGACTAAGATTGAAGATTCCAGCCCCAGCCACTTCATCATGTCGTCAGGGCTGTAACTGTTGAGACCCAGTGAGGATGAAATCTTCCTATTCACAATTAAGACTTTATTTTGCAGGAGCTGTTGTGGATTTCATATAAAATAGATATCAAATCATTTAACAGACAACAGGCTTATGAAGGAGGAGGAACGAATACGCCCATTTTTGTCAATGAGAAAGCCCAAGTTGGGAAGACACGAAGAGCCAGGGGCATCTAGCTCTGTGCTTGTCCACACGAAGCATCTGTGGTCCACACATGTGAGAAGCAGCTGCGGGGCTGCTCCATGGCAAAAGCCTTTCTCCTGACCCACAAGTTCAAGCCACTTTCTTCCTTTGCACTTTACCTATCCTAGCCTCTGCTCCTCCAAGGTATTCTAGTTAAAAACAGGATAGCAAGGTGGCACAGCGAGGGCACTCCCACAGAGTAGAGACCATGATCCACTGGGAAGCAACAGGCATTGGGAAAGAGCACTGGGCACACGTTGATCATCACTGCTGGCACCAGCTGCTGCCACCCGGGATGTTAGGTGACTGGCTGCTAGGTGATCAGCACCTTCAAGTGTCTCTCAAAGGTCATTCATGTCTCCAGCCTCTCAACCTTCCCTGTTCTCTGGCAGAGCACACCAGGTTTTGCCTTTGGCTGCCAGGGCTTGCCCTTCCCCAGTGGGAGGTTGGTGGGGCACTGAAGCTGCACAGGGAGAGGGGCAGTAGGTGGCGAGTCCCTCCAAAATGCTCTAGGGCAAAAGAAGGCAAGGCTTCCGAGGAGGGTGGAGATGGAGATGATCTCCTGTGTGCCAGTGTGGTCAGGATGCCAGCCTCCTTCCCTGACTGGCCAGCCTGCTCCTGTGGCACACAGGCCTCACTCTTGCAAGTCTCAAACCACAGTGCCCTGGACCGTTTGGGTGGCTTGGACTGTGCACTCCCTGATTCCTGAGATGCCTTCTGTCCTCTTTGCACCTTGAGTGCCTTATCTTTTCCAACCAGCCACATCCTCCAAACTCAACTGAGAAAGTCAGTCACTTCCCCCCAGCACCTTAATCAAATGGACCCCGATTTCTGATTTCATAGTATTGCCATCTGTGCAGTTCACCCTGGCCATGACCACTGCAGGACTATAGCAGACTATTCTGAGCTGGCCCACTCTCCAGACCATCTCCATCCCAGGAACACTCTTTAAACTGGAAAGCATTTTTTTTTTCTTCCTCAGAATAGTAGGGACTCTGGAACATCTAATAGACCTGATTGCGGAGTTGATTCTTGCTGATAAATTTCACTCCTAACATTCCCTTTTGGGGGTTGGGGATATGGCCAGTTAAAATGTATCCTCTTCTTAGTGAGAAGAAAATGGATATAGAGGTATTTTGCTAACTCTAGAGCATAAGTGAAAAGATTGATCACATGCAAAACCCTCTACAGCACACAACTTACAACCATCTACAGCAGTCAAAAGTGGAAACAACTTAAGGGTTCATGAGCACACCAATGGACAGACAAAATTTGATAGGTACAGAATGCAACAGTATTGAGCCATGCAAAGGAATGAAGTCCTGAGACGTGCTATAATATAGAACACACATTGTGTGATTGATAGAACACTGGGAAATGGGCAGTTCTACAGAGACAGAAAACATGTTGATGGTTGCCAGAGGCTGGGGGCCTGAGGATTCCCTAAGGGAGGCATAGTAGTCACTCAACATTGTAGACAAAACACTAAATTTCTCACTTCAAAACTACTTTTTTTTTTTTTTTTCGGTCTTTTTGAGACAGGGTCTCGCTGTAGCCCCAGCTGTCCTGGAACTCACTATGTAGACCAGGCTGGCCTTGAACTCACAGAGATCCA